TAATGCAACTTAGTTACAAGTTTAAGTTTAGTAAAAACTTGCTTTCAACACAGGTTCACAAATGAGTTTTCCTTTACCATATTGCATCTGTAGGTCTCTGTTCATAAACATAAACTAACCAAAACAAATTTACTATAAAATGAAATAGTGTTTGTATAAATTCAGAAAAAAGACACGTCAGTCACAACTGCATATGTGTACGTATTTCTATACTGTGGTCTATTTACACAAAGTTAGGTTACTTCATCATTTATGTTGGAATAGACACTCCCAAAATTTTATACAGATACACGAAAAAACTACTTAAGTACAGTAATGAATTACATTTGCTTCATTACTGTCCACCACTGCAAAAAAAAACTCATAGCGACAACTGTTTAGTAAATATAAACACTGGAGTGTGTATTGCTGGTAATTGTCATGACAAATGTACTGATGTTTGATATCATGACAGCCTATGTCACATGTTCATTTTTGCTGTGTACTCTAGTTGGCCATCATGGCATAAAACATTATTACCTGTATCATATCAATTAACAGCAATAGTAAAATGACACTTTATATCACTGGATATTATATGTCATTACAAGTCTTTACAGCATATGACATCTGCCATGTTTACTCTGTGGTTATATCAATGCAGCAGTGCAGCAATACAGCAGGGTTCCAGTAAGTCTGTCTACTATCAGAAACCAAAAAATAGGTCAAGCCAGGATGCAGCTGTAGTGTTCCAGAGTCCAGAGGGTCCAAAGGGCTACAGAACAGCAAACATTGCCATGTTTTCTGCATCATCAACTGATTTCTCTGGTTATTTACATTACAATTTTCTCTTGTAATATTTAGTGCACTATATTGCTCCAAAGGCCCATTTGAGAAATATTTATATGGTCCAGTGGGCAGATAAAGCTCTCCATCAATCGCACATGCAGTATATGATTTTGATGAACAATATAAGGACAGTGAAAAAGTTACATATCACTGTACATACTATGTTATGGAAAGTGACCCTTATATGACATGCCCACAAGGCAGATGGACGGGAAGTGTCAAATGCTTGGGTAAGTTCAGATCCTTTCAATGTTGGTAAATAACGGTGCCGCTATGAAAATGTATGTACATGTTGGCAACAGAAGAGCAGCATCTGCCACTGACCTGTGTTAGCCATGGACCTGTGCCATTGACCTGAGATGTCATCAAAGGCAAAGTAGAAAATATCTGGTGTTAAACCCATTATTTGTTTGGCCACAGCTCTGAAAGGATGTGATCATAGGATCTGGTGAAAGTTGGTCCCTTCAGAGACAAATAACATGCAGTGTTCATGCAACCCTTTACACAACACCCAAACATTTTTTTAGTGCGACTTACATGAGTGAATTATGTATGTACATTAAGGGTTGCACAACTATTCATTTTTACTAGTCTTTCAAAAACTAGAAGACTACTTGTCATTTACCATGGTGAAAAAATTGTGGTCACTCTTATGATAATATATTTTAGAATCTTCCCTCTAACAGTTGTACACGTTTTCAGGAAACCATTTATTCAGTCTGACTAGAAATCAGAGCTAATTTCTATCAACAACCAAACATTTTTGATTTAGTAGACATTAGTAGCAAATATATAGTATTTATGATAATATCCCCTCGTGTTTGCTAACCAGTGTATTACTTCATTTCTGTTTTTGCTGCATGTCATGCTAAAACAACACTCTGTTATCGTTAAAAAGTACTTATTCACTCTTAATTCCCTCTTTTTTGCACATTTGTCTCACTAAATGGTTTCAAATGCTCATACAAATCATGTTTGTTTTCTGTGAAAGCAAAACAGGTTTTAGGTTATGCTTATATTTATTTAAAGTTAATAGGAATAACTAGCTGTGCAATCTTTAGTAACAACAACTGCAACAAATGTTTCTCATTATTTTGATTAGTTCAGTGTAAAACCTTAATTTTGTTTCTTTTGAGCCATACAGAAGTCGACTCTCCCATGGAGACCATTTTTGCCCATTATTTTTTTTCTGAATGGTGGAATAACAGATGCTCCACCATATGTGAGGCAAGAGAGGCCTGCCATTCCTTAGATGGGTTCTGAGTTTCTGGGTGAGTCTTTGCTGTGCTCTTTGAGGAATATCTGTTAGACTGGCCATTTCTGACAAGTATCACCACTGTTCCACATTTTCTCCATTTTCAGATAATGGCTCTCACTGCAATTTGCTTGAATCTAGAGCCTTCAAAAAGGCTTTGTAACATTTCACTAACTTAGCTTCTCTTCTAGACTTTCTCTTGCTTGCAGCATAGTGTGCTGCTTGTTGAGGCCTTTTAGCCATCTCACATCGCTCGAGAGGTTCTATTTATGTGATGTTCAGAGTCAACAGAGCTGGCAGTGATCAAACCTGGGTGTGTCTGGTCTATTTGGTGCCAATTTTCAACTAAGTTTAAACTTTAAGACTGAGCGATTACTTTTTCACACAGGGCCAGCTGGTGTTGGACAACATTTTTCCTTCCATAAATAAAATGATTATTTAAAAACTGTAATTTATGTTTACTCAGGTTGTGTCTGTGGTATATTTGTACAAAGATCATCTTGCAGTGCCATCATGCTCGATAAGATTCATTTTACACAGAAAATGATAGCAACATTGATGAATATTACCTGGAGTTACAGCCCTACAGCCCATCTAATAGTAGGTAAAAGGTGGAATCTTACCTGACGCAGGAGCACTACGTCTGTAAAAACTACTGACGTGGTAGATACAGACGGGACTAACCTCAGTAAAAAATACAAAACTCTTCATTTAAAACTATTCTTGTCAGAATTCGTCAGTCAGGAGTCTAAGGAGCCCTTAGTGGAGGTCACGAACATTGCGATTTCTTACTAGAACCAGTTAGGAGTAACCTACAATACTCCTCAACCTAAGTTACACCAGTTCTGGTCTTGATGTTCTCCTTCACTGCACACTGTAGTGTTTTCTCTGTGCCCAACAAACCCGAATCAACTTTTTTACTCATTATTGACCTTCATGAGGTCAGTGCAGGAGTGTTATGAAGGAATAGATTTGTTTCCTGGCTCAGGCATGCCAGAACTGCATCAACTGTAAATTGACAACAGCAATGATGTCAAAGGTCTGTTACTGCACTTACGTTTGGTATATTTTATTTCAGGAGAGAAGTGAAGTGTGAGAATTCAAGTTCGACTCCATAAGCTAGAAACAAGCAAAGTATCAGTAGTAGCATCAATAAGGCCTTGCTCAATACTTAATCTTCAGTCTTACTACATGGCTACATGGTGCAACAGTGGAAACTGCTGCATCATTTCAGGTGAAACAGAAGCAAACTGCAGCTTTGTGCACCAACTTCTAAATTCAACTCAAACTAGCAGTTGTTTTACAAGTTTATTTCAGAGCCCTGCACTGTGAGCGTTCCTGTGATGGATGTACATCATATACAGCTGCTTAATGGAGGAAGACAAAAAAATCATATTGTGTTCACTTGTCAAGAAAAACATGCACTTGTGGAGGACAGTGTTGCAATAATGGAGTCATTGCCTTGCCTGTTTGTCAGTAGACGTGATGTCTGAGAGAGTTTAATGTTTGTTTAGTGACTGATTCAGTAAATAATCGTTGGCCACCAGGATGAGTTACTGAATAAAAACATTCAAACCAAATTCAGATAAACATCCATTCAGTTAGCAGAACAGTGGGTTATGTTCATCAAGTACACTAAGTAATGATGACCAAAAGGCGCATTGACTTTCATGAGTACTGAATGAACCAAATAAATGATTATTTTAAAAGACAGCATAATTGTAACTTCATGAAATATATATTTAGCAAAAATCTCCTGGAATCAGTCAATAAATATATAAAGTCTTCTTTTAAATGGATTTAAATGCAGCCTTCTACAATTTCTATTTGAACTGTTCATCTGTTGCTGAATGCCGTTCATTATTTTTTATGAATATTTCCACAATATCAATAAAGCATTTTGTAATGTATACCAGTTCTTCTTATGTTTATCTTTTTTGGTGGTTCGCTTTTTTTACACAGTGAAAATCTCACACAGCGAAAATCTCACACAGCTAGTTACATATTGTGAATTGCATGCATTTGCAAAAATAAAAATGATGATTAAAGTTCTCCACTTCTGCTAAAATAGCTGCATCTCACAGCATAAAATATGTGATTATATTTGCAAATATTAAGTATTTATCTTTGTAAAAAAGTGTTTCCAGTTGTTTGAATTGGAAGTATTTACATTCTTTTCAGTTCTGATTACTGATGTTCTTTTAGGAGGTACTTTCACTTGAGTTATATATTTATCCAAGTATTAATACTTTTACTTGAGTATGCGTTTAGGCTACTCTACCCATCTCTGAGAAGAGCGTCTGAGTCTCCACTTCTGTAATCATTTTCATCTTTTGGATTCTAAAGGAATCTCTGCTCTGTGGAAAATCAGCAAATATCAACAGAGCTGTGTAGTTCACAATAATAGGCAACAGTTAGCTAGTGCACTAGTTAGTTTTCTAGCCAGCTGGTCATATTTTTCAAATAGGCTGCTTGTTTCCTTTTGCCCCAGTAAATTTTAATTTTAATACAGTTCTGTTCAGCTCTACTCCAATGTGCTCACACCTAAACCACTACACTGACTTTGTTCACAAGTCTGTATCCTGAACTGTTTATGTAAACATACAGTGCTGAGTATTTTACCCAGTCCTGCCTTTATCAGAGCTGTGAACTCATCCTTTTTTTTTTTTTTAATAATTAATTTTTAAAGAAGGGAACTGATTTATCTGTGTATTCCAGTCTCACTCCAAGTCTGATGTTATTTGTTAAAAAAATAAATAAATAAAATCATAAAATATAGTAAAAATAATAATAAAAATGGTTTGAATGCTTTGAACTTTGTTTAGTTTACTTTTCACTGGGTTGGAAATACAGGAATGGGTGGACTTGAGAAATATTGACTGTGCTAAAAGCAGAGTTTGCTTAGTCTTTTCATCATACTAACCTTTTCAGCAAAATGAAGCAGTGTCTAGTTATTCAACATCTTTTCTTCTTGTGTTTCTGTGATTGTGCTTCATCACAATATGGTAAGACTTTATCTCCTTTTGGACTTCAAATTGAGAGTTATTTTCATAGCAAATTACATTTAATGCTAAATTTGGATCCTGCCAAATCTAGCAATCATGATCAGGTTTGAACAGCAGGGAGCGGAACAGGAAAGCAGAAGTGTCTTTTTTAGCAACCGTCTTAAAAAAACAGCTTTAACTAAAAGTTGAGTCTAAAGCTCCGGACAACCAGCCAGCACAGTCATTTAATCTCTGTAATAAATGCAATTAAGAACACGCAGCTAGATATCAATCTGGAATTCAAACTGATGCTGTCTCCTCAAACTCCTCAAGCTGTGCATTAAGTTCATATCTTTGTTCATTGATAAGTACATGTATGTATTTATGTATTTTTATACTATATATAGTTACTGATGTTTGCTGGGAATAACAAGTGTGCTTTTTGTAAGCTTTTTAGTTAGTGTAACTGTATATACTTTAGCTTGAATGCAAATCTGAGTGCTTGTCTTTTCTCAAACATAGCTTCCAGTTCTTTCCACATCACTTGTACTCTGGCTGTGTCGTCAAACTGTGAATGACAGAGGCCACATACAGCTGCTAGTGACCCATCAATCCATCAGCTTTTTAACCCATCAACCCATTTTATTACGTGCCCAGTGACATCTAAAGCTAATTTTTAATGTAGTTTAACAGAGTCTTAGTTTAACTAGTCTAACTTCTGTTGCAAGAGATCATGTGTATATTCACCACATGTAACGTGTTCTCCACACACGCCACGCATTTCTACGTTTCATTGGAGCTTTGTGGAGGGACTTTTCTGCAATATAACCTTACCTGGGCTAACGACAGGCCTGTTATCTGTTGGACAATATTGATGAGCGCACCGCCAGCCAGTTTGAGCTCTGCCTTTACATGGCATTCGATTGGTTAAGAACCCTGATAGCAAGAGGACCTGTTGGCCCGCTGATGGCAAAGCTGGCGGTCCACTGGCATTTTGCTCAGCGTTTTCGCTGCAGCCCACCAGTGTTTAATGACAAAATTTCACTTCTCATTGCTCACTTTCTACAGTCCAATAGACTTATATTTCCTTCCTTTTTTAAGTTATACTTTGTAAATTAGTTAGCAGAAGTGTCACAGTGTCAGTAACAACATTTTCTATAATAACATTTTTAATATTCGGCCTGGTCATTATTTTTTCTCTCTCAGTTGTTCATAATATTTGTCTTAGTTTATTTTCCAAAATAAAAGTCTCTGTGCATTTAAAATCTGTTTCAAGAGATTAAAAACTAGTTAACGCTTGTATGCAGGACAGTAATCTGGGTCCTCTGAGGGTGGACCAGCAGTGGTAAACAGTCAGTACTGACCTTATCAAGCCAGCAGACTGATATAAGCTCGCTATCTGGGAAATTTCACACACAGTTTGTTCCCAACCTAGTAAATCTACATTCTCACACACATGTAGCCCAGAATTTCTTATGGTTGTCCTCAGGTGTTCTCAGTAAGAGATCGCATCTGGAGATTGTGAGACTAAGATAGATAATAAAAGCTAGTCATGTTTTCTGCACAGAAACACCAGGGCACATAAAAATGGTAAACAATTTAGCAATTTGAATTGCTTTTCTGGTTTCAAATATTTTAATAGTAAATATGTTGTCCAGCCCTAAATAAGAGTGTTGAAGTAATGGTCACTAAGATAACTGCCTCTTTCCTTCTGGATTTTGGGCTCTCTATGAGCACCATGTCATGTTTGGACAGGTGAAGGAGCAGTTTAGATAGCCTGTCATAGCTGAGGTTTTGACATTTTACTTGTCACTGCACACTTGCATTGCACTTTCGTACCACTTGGAGTCGGGGAGTTTCTTCCCATAAATCTCCCTGCAGTAGCCTGGCTAGTTCATCCCAGCTTCAGTGGAGGTTCCATGTGATTTTAGAGCAGAAGAACTGAGGACCATCATTTGATACTACCTTCATGGAAATAGCAAGTCTGCAAAAGAATATAACACTGTGGGTGGGCGCAACCAGTGTTGTATAGGTGGCCAAAACACAGTGCTGGAAAACCGTGAGCCACATTTATCCTGAATGGTAACTTTACAACAGAAGGAAGAAACATTCTTAACTGATAATGGAAGTTAATGGAACAAGTATTTTCTGAATAATATTGGACCATTTCTATTGGTCCATTCATTATGAAATATGAACACAGTGCAGATGGTAATGGAATGCAAAAAAGGAAAAAAGGTTTTTGCTTGACAGGGATGATGTGCTTATGAGACCCTGAATTCTTGAAATGATTGATTGTGGAATTCATGTACTTTTCTTACAGGAATAAGATGTAAGCTGCCTACAATACCACATGGGATTATTAATGACGCTAAAGAGGAATACAAAGAGAACGAACAGTTAAAATATTCCTGTGAAAAAAAATACAGGCCCAGACATGGAACCCCAATGTGTCTTAGAGTTGGCTGGAGTATAACACCAGAATGTGAAGGTAAAACCCCTCCATTTGATTTCTTTCTATAGTACAATTAATGAAAGATGAAACACAGCCGTACATTTATTCTGAACATATGTGAGCAGTTTATAACTTATTACAGTACCAGCGTTCATCCGCAATCTTTTACTAACAAAGTATGTTTATCATTAGTCTTTGCATCTTTATAACTAGTCTCTGTGAATCTCCCTGTTATTTATCCTTGTGAGATCAGCTCCTCTCTGTTTTGTCTCATTTTGTCTACCACAGAAATTAATTGTCTGCTTGGGCCGCTCACACCTGGAACAAGCACAAGCCCACAAGGGAAGAATGTATTCAGGGCTGGAGAGAGTGTAGAGATCACCTGCTCAGAAAGACGCTGTTTGTACGGAACAAGAGAGATCAAACGAAACATTATATGCAAAGAAAGTGGTGAATGGGAATACTCGCCTGTGTGTGAGGGTAAAGAATACACAAATATAAAAACTGCAAAAACATTCTTGGTGCTTCAGTTATAACATACAGTAATTAACATCTAAACATCTTTGCAGAAATTACTTGTGATATTCCCTATGACCAGCATGTGGACTATGTTCACTACTACTTTAGTAGGGACAGAAGATTGGGGGTCGAAAAAACATACCAGTGTGAAAGTGGGTATCACGCAGGAGCTAGAACTGCCACGTGTACAGAGAACGGTCTCCAAAACCACTGTGTACTGGTAAGTCCCTGTCTGTGGAAGCGTGTGGTTAATTAGCTTCCTTATTTCATAGTAGAGAAGTATGAAAAAGTCTTGGCTGTTTTTCAGAGATTGTGTGTCCTGAGCCAACAGTTGAAAATGCAAGACAGCTGGATAATCCACACCATACTTAGAAACTAGATGCACATACTGAAAACCAGGTTTATATCCAGACAGACTAAAGATAAGCAAAGTGATCATAGCAGTGCGTTTTACCACCTTGCTCCTAGTTTTATTGCTTGTAATTCACTCACTCACATTCAGCAGGGTGAAAAATCTCTGCAAGGGGGAGCCATTAGCCAGACATAACATTTGATGCTTTACGTTAATGACACTGTGTGTCCTTGTTTACCAAGTATCTCTGTGTAGTCTTTGATACAAAATAGCTTTTTTCAACACACTTGATAAGTATGTTTCATCAAAAAAGAAGTGTGCACTATTTTCTCAAAAATGAGAAGCACTCAAAGCACTCAAAGGCCTTCTTTGTCTTGTATACAATTAAGTGTAATTTAACTGCAAACACAAAAATAAATGTTCCCATTTTCCATTGCAACATAGAGCAAATCTCAAATGAAGTACAGTCTAAAGACCAGCTGTCAGGGTCAGAGTGGGACTAATTTCCACACAAACAGCATTGTCTTTGTACAAAAGTACATTTTCTAAAATCTTATACTTCATACTTTTATTATTTATACTGACCACTGACCAGCTGCTTCATTAAGAACACCACCTTGTATCAACATTCACAGTTCATTTTATCAGCTCCATCTACCTATAGGTTCATAATTGTATAGGTACAATTACAGACTGTAGTCACTTCTCTGCATACCTTGTTAGCCCTATTTTACCCTGTTCTTCAGTTGTCAGGCCCCCCACAGGACCACAACAGAGCAGGTATTATTTGAGTGGTGGATCATTCTCAGCACTGCAGTAACACTGACGTGGTGTTGGTGTGTTAGTGTATGTTGCGCTGGTCTGAGTGGATCAGACACAGCAGGGCTGCTGGAGTTTTTAAACACCTCAGTGTCACTGCTGGACTAAGAACAGTCCACTAATCAAAAATACCCAGCCAACAGCATCCTGTGAGCAGCGTCCTGTGACCACTGATGTAGGACTAGCAGATGACTACACAACACACACTCCACGGCAACAGATAAGCTACTGTCTCAGACTTTACATCTACTGGGTGGACTAACAAGGTCGGTGTGTCTAATAGAGTGGGCAGTGAGTGGACACCGCGTTTAAAACTCCAGCAACACTGCTGTGTTTGATCCACTCGTACCAGCACAACACACATTAACATACCACCACCACATCAGTTATATTTGTTTTCACCCGTTTGTGTCATATACATGCAATTCATAAATTAAATTAGTTATATTAGCATTAATGAGATCCAGCTGCAGTTTTTCTTCTATTTCAGTGATGCACACAAAATTGAGTGCTAATAGCTCATCCTTGTGGGGAGAATCTTCAGCCTGTTAACCATCAGTGAGTGAATGTGTGAGCCAAACATCTAACATGTCCAAATTAATGTAATTCACTCACTCAGCCTGTTTGAGACATCTGGCAGAAAATGAATTAAAACTCAAAAGAGCTGTCCCAACAGTCCCAACCTTTACTAACTCACAGCCCATACAACCAACTACAAAAGCTTCCATGGCCCACAAGATTTTAAGAACCAGGCGCCGTATTACAGAAACTTCCTATCTTTTTGTCTTAAGTAAAGATCTGACAGGTAAAGATAACCTTTTTGGTGACACTTTATTTTGAGTGGTCCTTTTAGATGAAACAAACACTCAATAAATGCTAAGTAGCATGTCAAAAACGTACAAGGGTTAGGATTAGGTTTTGGGTTGAGGTTAAAGTCCGGGTTAGGATTAGGGCCAGGGTTAGAATTAGGTTTTGTGTTAAGGTTAAGGTTAGGATTAGGGCCAGGGTTAGGGTTAGGTTTTGGGTAAGGATGGGTAAAGTTAGGTTTTGTGTAACGGAAGTAACATTAACAACACATCTAGTTAATGTAAGTAATGTATCAACAGAACATCTACAAGATATTTACTTCATTGTAGTCAAATGCGTCACTACTGCTTCTTCACCGATATGTTGTTGATGTGTTACTGATAATCTGTTAAGAGTTTATTAATCCTCTACAAAGGACCACTTCAAATAAAGTGTTAGTAGATTTACCACAAATTCATATAACAGAAGTAAATCTTATCTTAACTGAGGAGTCTTATCTTACAGCATCATCTCAAGTTAGGAAATCTTAATTTATTTGATCTAAGTCGACGATCAACTGTCATGCCTGTTAACTAGCAACCGACCATCTGTGCACAGATGAAACGTAAACACATAAATCAATATAATCATGTTAGTTAGCTACTGGTACTGGAGTAAAAAGGTCGAACAAAACTAAGACGCGATGAACTTGAAGTTAAGAATATTGTGACGGTATTTTGAGCTGTTTATCAGACTCTTTAGCCAAGCTCGCTAACGTTATTCCTCCTAATAGACAGACACACGTTCAGCTCTGTCTCCTCATCATTCACCTCCATCACTGTAATATTTTATCTGATGAGTTTATCAACATTAACACATGAAGATAATAAGAGTGGCTGGTGGAGACTGTGTGTGCAGCGTCTGGGGTTTTTAAACATTGTTAGAAAAACAGTGTTTCGATGTAGATAAATGTAGCATCATTATGCTGGTTATAGTGAACGATGCTGCCTGTCACCGCATAAAACAATAGAAACAGGCACTTAAAACAGTAGTTAAGACAGCTCTGGGTTTGTCTTAAAGTTAGGACTGTATGTAGGAAATTTTGTCTAGTTCCTTTCTGTTATACTGTTTTCTTATCCGAGTTTGGATATGTTTATAAACCGTTGTTTTGCAGCTTCTTCCTAAATTTAGTCCTAACTGATGTTGTCATGGTGACTAAACAGAAAGATTTCAGACCTAAGATGTTTCTGTAATACGGCCCCAGATCATTTAAAGTGCAAACAAATATAGTACAAAAATCATCGTAGCTTGTCAATTTTGCTCGATTTTATAACATAATGGATCACAATAAACACTAAAAATAGCCAAACATTTTCTAACTCACCTAATGAGTTGAGCTGATGTTGTTTGGCAACCACCAAGTGCTGGATGACAGGCTGAAGAAATGAAAGCTGTGAAAGGAGGTCTGGTTCAGTTCATTGGGTTTAGAGCTTTATTCATTTAGCGTCCATCTGACGGCATAATTTGTTTGGATACAACACTTCATTTAAAAAAGATGAACTTTTTTTCATCAAAGAGGGGCAGTTATTTGTATTCTGTTCTTGGACATGTGAAGCCTAAATGCTTTTATACACCTAACACGATTTATCTGTGTAGTATTTCCTGATGACAGTGACTTAATTCGATTTTGTGTATTGCTGATGAAATCCTGCACACCAAATGTGATTTCTGAACAGTGAAAATGCGACACTATTTTATTTGCTCTCTGTTTGATATTTGTGAACTTTTGCTGGATTCCTCTGCTTTCTCACGGATGGTGTTAGCATCTCCAAAAGCAGCACAAACTGAGCTCAGACAGAGTTTCTCAGTGTCCTTATTTGCTCACTTTATGTGGTCAGCCTTCTTTTCCTGCAAAAAGAAGTGCAGTCATACAGTGCACAGACTACATTTATTGTATATATGACTATAGTTTCTCAACACAACTGTAGCTTTCTGGTATTTATGCTTTATATTATGTATATTATATTTGTTTTTCATATTTCTGGTTAACATTAGTAGGTAATTCAGCAGATGAAAACCAGCAAAAGAGGAGCTTTTGGAACTAATGAAAAGGAAGATATTTTGCAAAATAAATGCAATACTTACATAATAGGAACACTTACATACTACAAGATCAAGCCACGTATTGTCATCTAATTTCAGGTTGTAGATTTACTAAAAGATTGCTAATTAATGACATACACTTTGCACTGGTAGAGGTAAATTACTAAGAATGTCTTTGTACAACCCGCTTCCCAAAAAAGTTGGGATGCTGTGTAAAATGTAAATAAAAACAGAATACAATGATGTGCAAATCATTTAAACCCTATATTTAATTTGACAAAACCCTGTAAGTGTTTGGGAACTGAGGAGCCCCATTGCTGTAGTTTTGAAAGTAAAATGTTTTCCTATTCTTGCTTGACATAGTATTTCAGCTGCTCAACAGTTTAGGACCTCCTTTATATTTTTAGTTTCATAATGCACCAGATGTTATCAGTGGGAGACAGGTCTGAACAGCAATCAGGCCAATTCAGCACCCAGACTCTTTTACTAGAGCCATGCTGTTGTAATACGTGCAGAATGTGGTTTGGAATTTTGTCCAGCTGATTACAAGCAGGATGGTTCCTCTCCTCTTTAGCCCGGAGGACAAGGCGTCCATGATTTCCAAAAAAGAATTTCAAATTCTGGTTCTTCAGACCGCAGGACACTTTACCACGTCACCTCAGTCTATCTTAAATGAGCTGGCAGCGTTTCTGGATTCAGTTTTATACATGGTTTCTCCTTTTTTGCAACATGTTGCTGCCATCAAATTCAAAATAGGCATACATTTTTTAAAATGCAATCACTTTTTTCAGTTGCAACATTTGATGATGTTTTTGTATGATTTTCAATTAAATATAGGTTTAAATGGTTTGCACATAATTGTATTTTTATTTCCTTTTTTTTTTACAGCGACCAAACTTTTTTGGAAACGGGGATGTAGTTAACATATGATCAGCACAATATAACCACGTTTAGCTCAAATGCTATTTATATGAAAGCTCTTTTTCGGCAGGTATGAAAAAAAAAGTTTTTCTTCTGTTGTTTTCGGATTGTGGTTTACATTGTGACTCATTAAGTCATGTCCGTTATTATTTGTTGAGAAAGTATGGGATTTTTTGCCATAGTACATCATTATTTTGAGAAAATAACATTTCTGCATTTGTCAGAAATGTGAGAAAATAAGGTATTACTCTTCTGTATTATTACTTTCAAATAGTGTTCAAACGTTCAATTTTGGCTGCCAATAAATAGCTCACAGTCCATATTTATGGTAAGCCTTGGTAACTCTCCTCCCAGTACTTTGCGAGTCTCTGGGTGTGAGTCTCATTTTGACTCTTACTAGAACATTTTAGTTCCATCTCATAGCAGGAATTGCAAATGTAAAAGGAAATCCCTCCTAAAAACCTGTCAGGTTGAATGCAGCTTCAAATAACAAGCCTTTCATCACAAAATAACCTTCAATCTGAAGGACAGTATTGAAGCGCTACATGCAGTAAATGTGGTGTTAAAGGAAAGAGGCAAAACAACTTGAAACAGTTGGTAAGTCTGTAGTTTGTAAAGCAAATACAGTGCCCCTCATAAATATTGGCACCCCTGGTAAACATGAGCAAAAGAGGCTGTACTTTACTGCTCAGTCGTTTGATCTTTCATTGAAAATATTTATCATGATAAAAATCTAACCTTTATTTTAAATAAAATGATTAAAAGAAAAAAAAATATTCTTAACAAGAAAATGTTTCTCTTGGATGACCTCTGGTGGCCAGTTTGGGAGTTGCACATCACACTGGGTCTTCTCCTATAATAAGACTGGTAAACACATGACAAGGTATCTAAGACCATTTCTTCATACAGAATCTCTCCAAACCCTTCAGATTCTGAATTTCACACTCGTGGACTTTCCTTTTTAGCTCATATAGGTTTTCTAGAGGGATTAAGACAAGAGACTGGGATGACTATGACAAAACCTTCATTTAGGTTCAGGTCCAGGGCTTTGTTCTCATATACCCATACAACACAGTCCCATTGAAAGTTCCAGTAACATCTGGTAAATACATACATATACATTATATATCATCTTCTGGGCATGTTCTTACCATCCCCAGCTTTTAACTTCTTAATTGTTGCCTTGATAGTAGAAATGGGTTAGCTAGGTAGCAATTTTAGCAAGTTTTAAAAGAATGTAGTCTAACACACTAAAACGCAGCTGGATTAACTATTACAATAGTGAGCATTCTTGCTATCCAAACTATAGGCAAACCAACAGCTTTGTGCTTTTTCACCTCATTGCTTTAAATGCTGCATTTACTGCATGTATTGCTGTAGTTTGTCTGTCATACTGAAGGATTTTCTACAATGAAACGTTTTTCTTGTCGTTTGAAGCTGCATTGAACCTGAAGCTGCTGCAAGCTGCAGGAGAAGACATTGTAGTAATAACTACACGAGTGTAGCAAAACTGACAGACAAAGTAACACATAAGTTTGGAAATGAACGGTTTTATTATTTATCACATTAAGGTCGGCTGAGTCACTATCTTCATCTCTATCTTATACATATCTAATATGACCAGAGGTACACTTACGCCTGTATTTTCTGCTTTGATTTGACCACTGGCGTGCTCCTGATTGCACCTGTTTTAAATCAGGACCACGGTTGGGATGTAACAGGATATTTACAGAAATTAAGTTCAAGTTACATTTTGTAAAGGTAGTATTTAGGATATAGTTACCTTTTTAATTTTTTAATTTTACATGACTTTGTTTATGTATATGGAATACATCACTGAATACATTTAAGAGAGTATTCCATATTCAGCCACCACCACTTTCATTCACATTCACTTTTTAACACCAAAATGAGTTTGGGATGGCACAAAATATTAGTCAATCTGCCCTTTGAACAGTCAACTTGTTTTTTAAATGTCAGAAGTGTAAGTTTTAATAGTGAAAAGGCCCTCAACAGCCATACCACAGTTCAGCTATCTTCATGGCTCAACCATCATTGTGCACCAACTTTTACTCTCTCCCAATATTTAAATGCAGTGTGACTGTAAATAAACACAGCAACAAAGATGGTGTAATTGTAAACACCGAAGTGTGTGTTGCTGGTAACCATCATGACAGATAATGTTTGATGTCATGACAGCTTATGTCACATGTTCATTTTTGCTGTGTACTCTAGTTAGCCATCATGACATCAAATATTATGACCTATATCAATTAACAGTAATGGTAACATGACAATTTTATTACTGGATTTTATCTGTCATGACAAAACATTACAGCATATGACATCTGATATGTTTATTGCATGGTTATATCAATGTTATGTAGCAGGGTTCCAGTAATGTGTTACTGTATTTTCCAGTAATTGTAGCCATAGCAGGGGTCTGTCCACTATCAGAAACCAAAAAGTACAAGCCAGGATGCAGCCAGAATGTTCCAGAGTCCAGAGGGTTTAAATGCTACAGAACAGCAAACATTGCCATGTTTTCTGCAACACTGACTGATCTGACTTGTTATTTACATATTCTCTCATAATATTAAGAGCACTATATTGCTCCAAAGGCCTATTTCTCAGATATATTTATATGGTACAGTGGGCAGATAAAGACCCCCACCCCCCATCCACAACAGTGTAATACAAATTTTCTGTGTTTATCACTGTGTGTGCGTGTGTTAACAGCAAAAATACTTCAATGTGACAAACCCCCATTGATCGCATATGCAGTACATGATTCTAAGGAACAATATAAGGACGGCGAAAAAGTTGCATATCACTGTCCTTTATACTACGTTATGGAAGGTGACCCCTACATGACCTGCACACAAGGCAGATGGACAGGAAGTGTGAAATGCTTGGGTAAGTTCAGATCCCTTCAGAGTTGGTAAATAAAGGTGAAACTGTGAAGACAAATGTGCATGTTGGCAGCACACATGGAGCAGCCATGCCTCTGTGCCTTCGACCTGAGAGGCAGAGCAGAAAATATCTGGGGTTAAACCCATTGTTTGTCTGACCAGGGCTCTGAAAGGACATGATCCTAGAATCTGGTGAAATTTCATCCTGTCCGAGACAAGTACCACTTTCACAACCCTTTCACAACACCCAAACATTTTTTTTTAGTGCGACTATGACAGGAGAATTATGTATTTACACTAGGGGTTGCACAACTAATCATTTTTACTAGTCTTTCAAAAAGTATACTAGTTGTCATTTACCACATTACTGTGACCACTCTTATGAACACGCATTTGGAATCTTCCCACTAATGGCTATCCACAGCTCCGGGCAACGGCTTTAATTAATCTGACTGGAAATCAGAGCTACATGCTAGTACACATTAAACCTCTTTCCTACTTAAACTTTATTTTTGTAGCTTTCATTTCTGCCAATCAGTGTAAGACTTTATTTCTGTTTCTGTTGCACATGTTGTGATAAAACAACTCAATGATGTGAAAAAGTACTTGCCCACTCTTGATTTCCTCTATTTTTGCATATTTGTCACTAAATGTTTTCAAATCCTCATACAAAATGTAATGAGAACATGTGAAAACCCAAAAACATGGCTTTGAATCATTTCATTTGCTTGGAAAAAAAGGTTTTCCCATGTGTAAAAGTAACAGCACTCCTTATTAACTGGTTGTTGAATCTTTAACAGCAACAACTGGAACATTTCTTGTAACTGGAGATCGGTCTTTATCAATGTAGAGGAATTCTGGTTCACTTTTCTTACAGAATTGCTTTCATTCAGCCATACTGAAAGAAAAGCCCATTTAAGGTCCTGCCTCAGCAGTTCAATGGGGCTCAAGTCAGATATTTCACAGTCAAGTCATTCCAAAACCTTAATTTTGCTTCTTTTAAGGCATTCAGAGGTGAACTCGCTCTTGCCCTTTAGATCGTTGTTTTGCTGTATAACTCAGTTGCACTGACTGATGACTGGACATTCTCCGGCAAGGACAGCAGAAATCATGGTTCCATCAATTATGGCAAGTCGCCCAGGCCATGAAGAAGCAAAACATCCCTACACCATCACACTACCACCAATGTCTGACTCTAGATGTGATTGCTGTAGCTTGCTCTAGTTAAATCACAAACACATGGCCTTCTTTGAGTTATAAGCATTTAATTTGCACGTCCATGCTGTCAAAAATGCTGTGAAAACTAGATATAGATACACAAATCATAAATTAGTCTAGTGCAATACAGCAATATTCCCAGAAAATAACCGTTAAAAAACAGATCTCACAACACAAGTGTATTGTAACCTATTTTAACTAAAGTTTGAATTAACTTTCATGTTTTCTGGATTTTTTTTTTGATTATAGCATAGTGTGCTGCCTGATGAGATCTTTTAGTTTACTTCACATTGTAGGAAAGGTTCTATTTAAGTGATGTTTAGATTCACCAGGGATGGCAGTAATCAAGATTGGCTGTGTCTAGGTATACTGATCCAAATTATCAATTGAATTTGAGGTGGTTGACCGAGTAACTACAAGGCCGGTTATATTTTTACACAAGGTTAGTTAGTCTTGGATAATTTTATTCGACTTAAGACCTGCCTGTATCGCGTCAGGACTCGACTTTTTTGTTCCCCCCCTGTGTCCAGTGCTATATACTGTCACAGTGGTATCAGTGAGTACAAACAACGTGTATTAAGACATATTGGTTTTATTTCAGACTGGTTTTATTCCTGCACTGTGAGTGTTCCAGTGATGGATGTACATCATATACAGCTGCTTAATGGAGGAAGACCAAAAAATCTATGTAAAGCATGGGGATCATATTGTGTTCACTTGCCTGTTTATTCTTTTTATGAATATTTCTGCAATATTAACAAAGCAATGTTATTTTTATGCCTGCCTTTCTTTTTTGACACAGCTAGTTGCATACAACAATTTTCATGCAGTTACACTGAGCAGGTCAAAAATAATCATTAAATCACCCCAGACAAATTAGTAGCTCAGATTTTTGTATGTATATAATTTATATAGGGTTAGTAAAGACTGTGGTTCTGTATAGAAGCTTGAACACTCAAAGAAAAATTTGCATGCTTAAATGGTTCATTGTATGGTGAAATTGTTCTTCAGATTGATGGTGTGTTGTATACGGCTCTATACAGAACCTTTTTGAAAAGGGTTCTATATAGCCCCAAAAAGGTTCTTCTATTGTTAAGATGTCACGCTTGCAACAATAAAAGAACTCTTTTTGGTGCTATATAGAACCAAAAACAACACAGTTGGTGCTATTTATATGACCAAAAGAGTGCAAGGCAAAGCTCTAAGACAAGTTTGTACCACAGATTATTTTTATATTTTCTTCTTCCCCCCCGCCACCCTTTTAAATATGAAATAAGGAAGTGCTTCTCAAAATAAAAGCACAAATATACCTTTCAAAAAGATAAAAACGATTATTTAAACCAAAGGACATAAGACAATCTTTCTTCAAACTTAAAATTTTCACAACATAATGTCCTGCGTTAAACATCAAATGTGGAAAGGTATAACCTTATAAAAAAGTAGAATCAACTTTATTCCTTTATTAAAACAAAAAAAAAAACACACACACACACACACACACACACACACCAAAAACCTACACTAACCAGCATTAGCTAAGGGCAGGGCTCAAGTGCTGGTAGCTCCCTGCAGGGGAAGATTGAGAGCTCTACCACCTCATAAATTAGGTGTCACTCCAAACACACACACACACACACACACACACACACACACACACCAGAAAGGAAAAAAAAAAGAAGAGAAACATTAAAATAAAGAATAATTCAACTAGATAAAGTTATAAAGTTCATATACAACCTCAAGATAACACAACCTTAAAACTTAAAAAAAATAAAATAAAATAAAAAAATAAATAAATAAATAAATAGGCAAAACAGCAGGATGACTTGAGACCCTGTCTTCAGACAAAAAGAAAAATTAAATCACACTACAAAATTATATTTTACATAAAATAAAAAACTTTCATTTAAAGATTACCCTTATGATAGGAGGACCCTTATTCAGTTGGGAACAGCAGCTCCGAACCCTCAGCATAACCATGCAGGCCCTCATCACAAAGCAGCCAACCAATCTAGGGTCAAGTATAGGCCACCCAGAACAAACACCTAAAACACACACACACACACACACACACACACACACACACACACACTTCAGTGCTTCATATGCATATAGCACCTTTAAACTAGCTAGTATGAAGCAGCTCTAAACACACTATCAAAATCCCTTATCTTTGCAACTTCAGGAGACCAATAAAAAATTACAAAAGGCACCAATAAAACAAAAGAAAAGAAAAACCACAAACCTACCTCTTGTAGGAAAGGGTAGGTTTTGGGCCTACCCAATAAAGAGGAAAGAAGTAACACCTCACTACTCAATGATTGCAACAGTCCAAACAATACCAAAATTTCAGTTAGATCTAACCATCCATTAAACTAAAATCACAACCAAGATTTTTCCTACCTTAGGCTGTCCACAGCACCAACAAACACAGAGAGATCCAACTGCTGTTTTAGCAGGCCACAACATACAGCACCAAAGGCCAACAAAGATATGCCATTCAAGGACTCAGACACCTGTGACCTACGGAGAACTACAGGGAATGGGAAGACTACCACAATAAAAGCCTCCAAAGGACTATTACACCTATCATAATAAAAGGCATCCAAGTATTTGTCCTGCCATATATAGAACCATATTCAACACATTATAATACAAAGAACCCTTTAAGAATGCAAACGGTTCTTTTTTAACTGTTGAAGAGCCATCTTTTTAAGAGTATACCCAAGTACAGCTACTCTGTACTTAGGTAGCCTTTTGACCCAATCCTTTTTTTACTTTAACTTTTACTTGAGTCATTATTTTACCCAAGTATCAACACTTTTACTTGAGCATGGGTTTAGGCTACTCTGCCCATCTCTGACAAGAGCATTGCAGTCTCCACTTCTGTAATAATTTTCATTTTCTGGAATCTAAAGGAATCTCCACTCTGTGTAAAATTAGTGGTTGTCAACAAAAAATAAATAAATAATATACACATGGAATTACTTCAGTGTATCCCAGCATGCTATGGGTGGAAAGCAGGGAAGTAGTCCATCACAGAGCTAACACAAACAAACATTCAAACCTACAGTCCAATCTTAATTCAATGAATGTGTCTTTGTACTATGAAAGTCTGACTCCCCAGAAGAAACACAAGCAGGACATGTAAGCAACACCCACAAAGGGCCAGGGTTAAAGCTGAACCCAGGTCCTTCTTGCTGTGAGGTGACATTGCTAACCACTGAGCCATCAGGCCACCGCAAGCTGTAATATTTGTGCCATACAGTGTTGAAATAAATAATACTGCACACATTATCAAACTGCACAATTGTTGTTGAATTGACCTTGTGGGTCAGACAGCAAGGCCAGCCAGTGTTCTTGTTTTAGGGCCAATCCATCCATTGTCTTCACTTCCATTAGTAAGTAAAATACACTGTGTAATAGAGTGGACAGTGAGTGGACACAGTGTTTTAAAAACTCCAGCAGCACTGCTGTGTCTGATCCACTCGTGCCAGCGCAACACACCCTAACACGCCACCACCACGTCAGTGTTACTGCAGTGCTGAGAATGATCCACCACCCAAATAGAACTTGCTCTGTGGTAGACCAGCAGGGGTCCTGACCACTGAAGAACAGAGTAAAAGGGAGCTAACAAAGTACAGCGAGAAACAGATGGACTACAGTCTGTAA